GCAGCAGTACTTATCAGAAGCACTTTATAGGTTTGTTTTGTCTCGTGTTGGAGAGCGTCGCCTTCCATTTATTATTAGAGCTTCTTGATCAGCGTCCTTACGAAGGTTTAGATAATACAACTTGTTATTTTCAGGGAAGAAGCTCGTCAACAAAAGCTAGAGGCTTTGGAAAAGATGTTGGAAGCTACTGAGCATGCTTCGGAAGCAGCATGGAAAGCCCTTGTAAATGAAGATAGGCTGTTGTCAAGGTTTAGGCTTTTCCTACGTTTCTTTCATGCTTGCTTTTCCCTTAGATTCTATTTGGCCGTATTCTTTGTATTCAATTTCTTTGCAGAATCGAAACTCTTGAAGCTCAGCTAGCAACGTTTTCAAAAAACGCTACGCCAGACAAGCTTAGGGAGGATATTCTCACTCTAATTGACGATAAAGCTAAGTTTGAGGTGGCATCCAAAGAGCACCTAAGGTAAGGCACGCTCAACGTCTTCCTTAAGTGCTTAAGTTACGGTAAATCGCTTTATTTCAGAAGAGCGCAAGAGGAACGTGCCGAGTCAGCATTAAGATTAGCTGACATTGATCGAAGTCTAGTATCCACTGAGGAAGAATGCAATCGGTTGCGTTCTCGGGTGCGTTTTTTGGTCCTTTTTTTCTGATGTATTGCTTGTGTGATATTGGCTTTTCTTAATCTCACAATCTGAAATGTTCTGGTGATATGAAGGGGTTGTTTTAAGATACAAACGCTGGAAGCCAAGTTAAGTGAGACTGTCAGTGCATACGAAGCGAAGGTCAATGATTGTACTAACTCTCAAATAGCTCTTGTCGAGGTACGAGTGATTTGTTGTTGTTCGGTCAGAAAAACAAGATGCGTATGTTTGAGTATATGGACAATTAAGGAGACACTTAGAGACCACCAACTGCTTTGTTTCTTGAGATCTTTGTATGGTTCCCTTGTTTCAGACAGAAAGAAGGCTTGTGGCAGCTGAAGAGAAAGCGAGCACCGCCGAATCTCGCCTTGGCGAGATGGAGTCGAAAGGTGAATTACCTTATATTCAGGAGCCTAAGTTGTGTGATGTCCCTCAATTGGGTTTTGTCAATTGTTATTCCTCCTGCATTTTAGCTCAACATGAGCGTTCCGTGTCCTATTTGGTTCGTCTTCTCGTGAACGCACTGAATAACAATCCAACCGTGAACGAAAACGATCACTGGTTGGCAATGCTATATGAAGTGCTTCGAGAACGAAATATCGGGGGCGACGCTGTTCCAGAAGCACCGGTTCGCTTAGTGAATTGATATTCAGAAGTCAGAACATATAGGATGTCTAACCATCGTTTAGAACTCATCGGCTGCAAGAAGTGCGAGCACTTAAAGGACCTCAATGCACGTGAAGTGCTAATTCGCGCCGAGATGGAGTCATACCTCAAGGACAATCTTCAGCTCCAAGGTAATCGTCCATTAGTGTTTTCAAAGAAGCACGATGCTAATTTTATGATTTTCATTGTTTCTGTGTCACGGTTCGCCCAGTCACATTGTATTTTGAGCTTTGATCCGCTCCCACGTATAAAAGGCCGATGTCAGACTTTGCGAATCGCGCGATTCGCTAGCGTCTGCGGTCGCGTCGCGGCCAGTGAATCACTCAATTGGCTGGTACCGCAACGCGACCGCGGACGCTAGCGAATCGCGCGATTCGCAAAGTCTGACATCGGCTAAACAAAGAAATGACAGTGGATATGGGAAAAGTTGGGTAATACTAACCCAGCAACAATATCCACCTTTTGAAGCTCACGATAAGCTATCGTCGTTATTTCCAGCTCGTGTGCGGGACTTGGAATCCGAGCTTGCGATTGCTGTATCTCCGGTGTGTATAGGAAAGCCTCAACTTGAGTTGGACAGTGCCCAAACATTGGGCGTATCTCCACCAGAAAAGCGAAACAACGCTCAGTCGACAGCTGCACCTACTGGCCACGCTGAACCACTCGTCCTGGATAGGCTTCAAGATACGGTACGGTCTTTATTTCTAACAGGACACTTCATGTAATTGCTTACTTGGTAAGGGGGTTCCTAAATACTGCTCTAGATGGTGAAATTAAAGGATCGATTGCTTGAAGTGAACAGTAAACAGTACAGAATACGATTTGAGCGTGTAGTTTTTCTTGGCCCCACTAATTCAGTCAACAAGAAGTAACTTGTAGAGTAGAGAGAGATTCTTGTTAGTGTTTTGTCTGCATTGAATTGATCATTGAAAGCAAATCGAATTTTGCCCTTTGCTGTGTGCCACGTTTTTATTAAATCGAAGAAGTAACAGATTTGTTTCAGGTTTTCATCATCTCCTTAGCACCTTTCCTTGCCATAATCTTGCTGATGCTTGCACCGTTACATGTGAGATTCATGCAGTACATTAAGCAAGATTAGGTTCAATGCTCTGTGATAGGCCGTCGACACAATGGTGAGTGTTACTTTTGTGAACGAAAAACTAGTTACTTTGTTCAAATGCATTGTTATACAGATATTCGTTCCATTGCTAATTGCTTTGTGAAGAGAATATAGTCAAAAATGATGAACAGCTGTTGAGTTAAGGGCAAACCCGGGATTAGCCCGACTTGTGGGAAGGATACCGCGAGGGAAATTGTAAGGTCCGTACCTACCTAGATCACTCCAGCTTCGTCGCAAAAATTGCGCGGTTAGGGCGCTAATCCTTACGGGCCTGCAACCATCGACCCCCGTTGCAACGCTTCCCACCCACCTCGATGTATCAGCGTGCTCTCTCGAACGGCGTGATCTCTCGCGTGTTTTGTCTTCTTTGATCGCCCTGTCTCGCCATCGTACCACATCCGACCTTTTGAAGGTTAAGGCCTTAATTTCAGCGTTCTTGCCGGATTTCTCTTGCTTTCCTTTCCACTTTCGGTTCATTTCTCAGCTCACTCACCACTTCAAAGCGCTCTTATCACCATCTCTGCCTTTAAACACACCCGAAAATATGGCTCAAGGTACGGTAGGAATTTCCGCAAAGGGCGCGGATGGGAGATCAACTAGACGGACATGCATACCAAACAGTTCAAAAAATAGGAAAGTGTTCGAGTAGTGTGGGCCGGAGAATTCTCGGAGCTCTGATAATAGAGGGCAAATGCGGGACTGTCTGTGCCTGTCACAAAAATGAGTAGTGTTCTTGTCGAGCAGTATTTGAACGTGCCTAACAGCGGCTGGCAGCAAATGATCACGGCTATGATTCTTTTTTCCTCTCTCCTTGTTTCACCACAAGCAGTCGCTTGATTGGGAAGGGGTACTAGCTTGGTAGGTATGTTTTTTGATAGTTTGCTTACGCTGTAGGTCTGCCTTAGTATGTGCTAGTGGAGGTACACAACTTCTGCTCAGTTTGCTGTGGAGGCATTACCAAGATAAATTAGTGGCTCTGTAATGCAATAATCAACTTGTCGTATTTCATTCATTTCACTTTTACCATACTTTGATCATGGAACATATGCCAGGGTGTGTAGCACAAACCACGGTTCAGTACGGCGCTTTTGTAGTTCCAATTTCGCTAATGCATATCCATAAATCGAAAATATCTGTGATCGTATGCAGCTACCGGCTAGAGGAGTTAACCGCTTTAATCGCTGACCATCGCCATTGTGCGTAGTACGGCTTCCTTTTCATATTTTTTGCAATCAATAGTCACGAGCTCCACGGGGAAATACAGTCTCAGTAGGATTCCCAATCCAGATTAGGAAAATCTCTGCGTAAAGCCTTGGCAGTGCAGCTGGTTTGTTACAGGAATATGGTGTAGGTGATGAGGATTACGCATATCTGAGTCAGGTGCAAAACTTGAACTGTATCAGGCGCGGCGTCGCGCGTACTCTTGTAGTTCACATTCTTGCACGTTGAGGGCTACAGTCGCTTCATATTCGGTTTTGTGTTACCCATTCTTGCGCATTTAGACCTACAGGCGCCTTCACAGTCGGTCGTCCGATCGTAACGATAGTACCGCATTAGATAGTACCGATTGAACCGTTCGGACGCGCCTGAGAGTGGAACGATCGATACTTATCTGATGCTGTGCGATAGCGACGATTGGGCGATATACTATGAAAGCACTCCGAGATTTGTTGCTCCATTATGATGGTATTTAAGATTTTCAGGTTGTCGTTTGTTGTGCCCGAAGCTCCGTGAATCGCTCAGGCTTGGTGTTGTGCTGCGTTGCATATCATGTGCTTTCGTTTTGTTGTGTCGCTTATGTGTTTTCGATTGTATTGAGATCTGCGCTGTTCTTTTTCTAAAGGCTAGTCATGCATGTATTCCGTTCAAATATAACTCTCCCTCTCCAACCAAGGTATTCGTTTGCTTTGTGAACCTCGACGATTTTATTGACCTGCTCACCTGATTTCCTTTGCGATTTTGGAAATAGATAATTTATTGTACTTTGTCTAACGCTGTTGAGATGTGGTGCAGATCATTTTAATGCCCACAATTGCGTGTATCTCTTATTCTTGCTATTCTGTGAGCAATTTTTGGTGAATTGACCGTTTTATTGAGCAGACACGTACAGTGGCAGTTGCGGACTAGATGCGTCGTTGGGCGCGATGTTGTAAGAACAGTTTGATTGGTTTCTGGGCTACTGAAATACGGTCACGGCTAAAAAGCGCCGCACCGCGACCGCGTGTCTGATTGCTACGTGATGCCACCCTTGCCCGTGGCTGCAACTGTTGTTTCTGTTGCTTTTTAATAAAGATTTTATTATTAGCTTACCTTTTGATGTGTTGTTATGTATTACATACTGTAGCTCAAGAAGTTCTGATCGCTCACTGCTCGAACTGATGCAAAAAACAGGTCATCTTCATTTGACACTCTCTGAGGTGGTTACATCCCGGTCACCGGGCTTGCGCACTTAACGACCTATTTGATAAGGGTTTTTATCGATACTCACTGAAGTGTAAACAAGGGCTCCCCTCATTGTCACCAGCGAAAGTCGGGAATCGTCGAATGGGGCCGGCTGCAGTAAGCCCCAATGACGGGATGTCTTCTCATCCCCTCGGGGCTTGCTGCACCTGCCCCTTTAGTCAACCATTATTTTTTGAAGTTAGGAATATGGAAGTTATGGCAAGGAAACTGCATGGTCGAAGAGGCAGAGTTAAACTGCAGCCCCAAAAGCTGTTCTCTTGAAGAGGGAGAAATGTAGAAATTTCGAAGGTTTTGCTGTTTGAGTGGTTCCCCTTCCCACGTCCGCTCGCCCCCTCCCCTCTCCCACCACCACAAAGACTAATCCTCGATAAACCGAGGTAAGGAGATGGGCTTGAGTAGAGGGCAAGCGAGGCGACGATGTCATTATGCTATAGGAAAAGCCTCAATAATTTATCTACCGATTGAATATGCATCATAGGGACGCCCGCTCGGGACCAAGACTGAGGAAACCGTGTCAGAACAACTCTTCGACCCCCAATCGTCTGATGTGTCTGTGGTGTAATAGTAGTCTCCGAAAACGTGGTAGCCACTTCATAATTTCTTGGTACACACTTCGAACTGGAAATGGGGGAACTGCGGTCAACAGAATCGTCCGGTCGTCGCGCCGCCGCGTGCGTCCACTTGCGCGGCAATTTTCGAGAAGCGCGGGACTTTTGAGTTTGACGGTTGAAGCAGCATATTGAAGTTGGATCTTGAAGGAACGGGCCTGCTTGGCGTCCTTGTAACATTCAAGTTCACGATCACAGAAACTCGTCCACTGCACTTGCGACGTCGCGGCCACGACCGGTAGCGCGGGGATCCGGACGATTCTGTTGACATACACCCGGTACCTGGTGTGGTTCACTAGGACAGAAAGCGACTTTTCGCGTTTCGCAGCGCGAAACATTTTTCGCTGCAGGGAACTCCAGGTCCACTCATGATCAGCGGTGGACCTGAGGTTCCTGCAGCGAAAAATGTTTCGCGCTGCGAAACGCGAAAAAGTCGCTTTCTGTCCTAGTGAACCACACCCTGGGGTACCCGACAGGAGGCCTGTCGCATGGCGGAAAGGCAGAGGAAAGGACGGGTCAGCGGACGAGTCGCATCGCGTACTGCATAACCAGAAATCAGCTATCACTATGAACAACTTCTAACCAGATTTACTTGGAGGCCGTCGTCAGTTGTGGTGTTTGGTCTGCACCCGACACTTTCTCGCTTTTTGAAGGGGAGGTTAAATAAATTCACTATAGTACGATCTTCATCACCCATTACGCGCCGCGACTCGTCCATCCGTTTGATTTCCTGCCTTCTTGCCGTGCGACGGGCCTTCGGTCGGGGTACCTAGGGCCAAGCTGAGGAAGAAGAGGAGGCTCAAGCATGCTGAATTAGCAGGTTTTACTCCTTTCCAGTTGCTGATTTGTCCGAATCAACCAGCAGATTTTTGTCTATGGTCGCTTAAATTTGAGAATTTTTTAAAGTGCGTAAGGGAAACATTTGACAACTAATATTTTCAAAATCCGATAGCAGCCTTTTATTAGAATGTAAACAATTGCACGTTATTTTAAGTACTTTCGTAATGCATTCACTAGTTAGCTGGAAGATGAGGATTTTTCGGCGCCGGCTTTCAAGCTGAAATGAACGGTGGAAAGCAGCGTTATGTTCCATTCTATTCACAACTGCACATTCAATCTATCACTAGTCCATTTTACC